GTTTTGTAAAAATCGACGCGTTTCAAAAAGGCGGGGCATAGAGGAGAAACAATAATGTACAGTATGTGGAAAATGATGTGTTTTTTTAACTTTAAACCGCATAAACACATTTCATTACACCAAATACACAAAATAATGTTCTTTTTAGCAGCATCATATGACCCCTTTAACTATTTTGCATTTAAAGACCGATATTCAAAGACCATTCAATCGTCATCAAAAGTGACATTAAAACCGACTTAATTTTAAGAAATGTGCACAAGTGAGAAAGCATAGCTTAAGAAGAGTCTTTACAATAAATAAATGATTTCTGTGAACACATTAAATCAAAATAAATGCATTAAACAAGAATTTCCCAAAAGGTCCAAGAAATGCTATTGAAAGGATTTTTTTTATTAACATTGTCCAATCAGCTGATAAAAACATCAATCCACAAATAATCTACACCCCACCACTTCAGTCCATCAAGCAAAGACAAAAGCTGAATCAAATCCATCATTAAGACATTAATTAAAATGAGTCCATAATCCATAATAATGCTTCCTTCAGTGAAAAAGTGGTCTGGTCTGAGTCAGGAGAGAAATCTGCACAGATCAAGCACCATTTAAACAGTCCAAACCAGCTCTAAACAAACATGTGGCTGGATTTTGATGTGAGAGACATCAAATAACAGGAAATGTTACTATGGATTATGGACTAAACATTTCTTAATGCTGGATTTGTTTCAGCTTTTGTCTTCTCAAACTGTTAACTGATGGACTGGAGTGCTGTGGATTACTGTGATGTTTTTATCGGCTGTTTGGACTCTCGTTCTGACGGCACCCATTCACTGCAGCAAGTGATGCAATGCTGCATTAGGTTCATTTTTGGATGAAGTATTCATTTAAAGGAATCTGCTTTCCAGTATATTTGTCTTTAAAATCTCATGAAAGGTAATAAAAAAATGTAAACTATCAAGCAAAGGGCACATGCTTTTACTGGCAATGCGCAGCATTTGACCTGATCAGTCAGTGTTTGTCTAAAGTGTGTTTATTGATTTGCATAATTTAGTTTTGCATTATCATCTTGAACGATAATATCGTAATAATTACTATAACTTCAGAAGTCAAGTTGTTTGAAAATATTTCTAGTTAAATTTGTCTCGTGCACCTCGTAAGAAAGAAAATCATACGGGTTTGAATGAAGGTGAGTAAATGATGACAGAATGATCATTTTAGCTGATCTTTTCCTCGCAAGTGTTGATACATGAAATGCAAATCTAAGTAAAGTTGTTTTGAGGTAATTGTTTTTTTTTTGTCAAGCTAATATTCTGTGTTGCAAAACATGCTTGGTATTTCTCTCTGTACTCTCCAAAATTACAAAATCAAAGCAGCAACTCAACATTTTATGGGAATTTAACCAAGTAAAACACTTTCCAGTTTACAGGACATTGACGTGTGCTCAGTAGGGCTGTGTTCGATACATCGATACGATGATGATACGAATATCGATACTGTCCCCAGAGGCATCATGCCCATTCAAACTGAGGGCGTGTGAGGCACGTGCCCCCTCAGATTTTTGAGCCAAGTGGATTTTGAATACAGTTTCTAAAAGACAAAAATAGCCAACTAATTTTTTATATTTCATACAATCACACCAGCGTAATTAGAACGTGCAGTGAGGCACAGCATCAGCTGCCAAATACAAATCTGCGTTTGCGCTTTGGCTGGCGCTGAGCCAGAGACAGACGCGTTTGTACAGTGCTTTTACAGCATTATAACCAATCACACACAATTCTGTTGAGCTTGTGAATGCAATCAGAGGCGTTCAGATGAGTCGTCGCTGAAATGCCGGTGTTTTATTCACTCGCTCGCTGAAGGAATTCTGCTTTCTGGTGATTCTCTCATCAGAAACAACAGATGTGTTTCGATGTAGGATATTTATTTCACAGTGTAAACAGCTTCAGTGATTATAATGAGAGTTTTTGAGAGTGCTTAAAATGTTCTTTGATCATGTAAATGTTCTTTACTTTCTTTCTGTACAATGAAAGTGTTATAATTAGTAAATTACAATGTTTTTATTAAATTCAGTCATATTAAAAATATTTTATGGCATGACTATTGAGCTACTTTGTCCATCGCCCATTATAGATCAACTAACATAATCTATAAAGGTGCAAAATGCCTTTACTTCCACATATTTGAGAATCGAGATATTTCATGATATAGTTAACACGTTTGGGAATATTTCAAATAAAAAGAAAAAAGAAATAAAACATAAGCCTATATCAGTCATACTTATATATTTTGCTGTGTGTCACATGCGCATGCGTTTTTGACATGAAGCGGAAGCAGACAGGATGAGGAGAAGACTTATTGAATAAAGTCTTATTTTTGTTTTCTTTGCACACAAAAAAATATTCTCACAGCTTCGTAAAATTACGGTTGAACCCCTGATGTCACATGGACTATTTTACCGATGTCCTGAGCTACGTTTCTGGACCTGGGAACATTTCAGTTGTGTTGCTGTCTATGGGAGGGTCAAAGAGCTCTGAAGATGAACAAAGGTCTTACGGGTTTGAAACGACATGAGGGTGAGTAATTAATGACAGAATTTTCATTTTTGGGTGAACTATCCCTTTAAGTATAAAATCAAGTCCTGTCCAATATTTATTTTTTTTCATGACAGAAGTTTCATGTTGATTTTAAAAGGCATGAAAAAACTACAGGGTTCACCGCAATTCTTTTTAAATAATACATATATAAATTTAAGTAATTTGTACTTTTGTCTTGTTTTCTGGTTAATCATTCTTACACAAGATAGACTTTTTACAATATAACAACATTATTATTTAACATCCTTAAACAAGTTGGCAATTGTTTTCTTTAAGCAAAAACTCACTTAATTTTGATATATTTTTCGTAATGCTCATTCAGATCTTTTTGCTTTTCAAGTAAATGTATCTTGATTTAAGAATGTTTGTACTGGAAAACAAGATGAAAATACAATTACATTGGATTCAAAGTAATCGTCATATCATACACGCATCACATAGCCATGTATTAAAATGTATTCAGTTAGCCTGAAATGGCACAATGCAGTCCATTGACAATAATGTCTTACAAAAATGTTCATGGAAAGGGATGCAAAAATTTATACAAACATCATTTTAATATTTGAGGCATTCTTGGTTGAGCAGGACATCCATGTCTAAGAATTAACATCATCTTTGAAGGACAGAAATACGGTCTTATACTTTATTTCGCCCTTATATAATGCCCTTCCCCACTAACCTCACTGAAGTTGTTAACATTAAAATTTATCTTTGCTTCTCACTCATTTGTTCTTAATTTCTCTAAATACATTTGGACTTGACTGACTAATCAAAGAATGAATAAAACAGGTACATTTACAATAACTTTCATTTCTGTAGAAGTCCAAAGCATAAGAAAAGTCTTTACAATATATATTTAAAGTATTTCTGTGAACTACTGTGATATCAAAATTAAAAAATGCATTGAATACAAATGCCAAGCAATGCAGATTTAAATGAGCTAAACTTTTTCTTTCTAAATAGAGTGGCATTTGACCCGTTTAGTGTTTGTGTAATTGTGTGTTTACATGCAGGTCATTGACTTTAATATCTGAGTATTTCTGTATTTCTGTGCCACAGTTTTGCATAATTGTCTGATTACTGTCTTGAACCAGAGAATCGTAATATTGATCAAATCTGATGTCTTGAGCGAATGGTCAGTTTATATTCTGACTCTATTTACTTTTGGAAAGAGGTTCTGTTTGCTGTGCTGGTTGGACTTGGATCCAGCTGTTGGTGGAGGGTCAATGTCCTACATTGAGCTCTGTGACGAACCGACAACACACACACACACACACACACGGCTCTCAAACCATGTACAAGTTTCTGTCTCTGACGCTGATTTCACTGCTGGCTGTTTTCGGGCAGTATGTGATCGCAGGAGGACGCTTCGAGCGAACCATCAGCAGACCTTTTGGGTCAGTGCTGAAGGTCCATAATGGGATGCGATGGGGTTCGTGGGGTCAGAAAGAAATGTGTCCAACTGGAATGTACGCCACAGGTTTTAGTCTTAAGGTGAGTAACTATTACCAGTATACAGTAGTGTGAGGTTTAGTGGTTGGTAACCAACTCCACTTCAAATCAAAACTGACTATTTACTTAATTCATGTTCCTGATCTTATTATGAATGGTTAGTCTGGTTATAATTGATTATTGTGAAGTTTTCACCTAATGCCATCTAAGCCATGCAGACTATAGGTAATGTTAAAGTTAACCAATAGTGAATTCTACAGTAGCACACTATATGATATTATTATAATACGTGTTAAGTATTATGGCATGTGTGTGATATGATCAAA